CTCGGCTGACCGGCTCCCTATTATGCAACAATTGCAACTTCCGGATGTGTAAGTTGGTACGAGAATTCAACCAACTATTAACCTCTTATTTTGATGAAGGAACAATTAAAAACGGTAGAAGTGCACTTACACCGCCTCAGGCTTGGATACCCCATGTGCATGAGCAACGGACTCGAGAGAAAGAAAGGTACTGCACTGATCAGCACTGTGGAGGCCAGCCCGACACAGCACTGGAACACTGTTGTACACAATCTTACTGAGGACAACACACGAGTCATAAATACTCATCCACCGCCTAAGACAGAAATTACTGGGCCAGTCAGAAGCTTGGGGCCCGAGGAGGAATTTCCCTGTCCCCCCCCCCCTGCCCCTCCTCCCAAAAATGCTCTTCACCCCCCCCCCCCTCCTTGAAAATTGCAAAAATAAAAAATACCCCTAATGACATACCATAATTAAATACAGAATACAATACAATACAACATGATCCAACAATGAGCAATATAATACATAATGATACAACAAAGAACAATATAATACAGCATGATACAACGAAAAAAAATACAATATAGCATGATACATCAAAGATCAATATATGATACAGCAAAGGAGAACACAATACAGTATGATACAACAAAGAACACTATAATATAGCATATTTAAAAAAGAACAATACAATACAGCAAGATATATTGATACAATAATTAATATATTATTACAATACCAATAGAAAATACAATCATAGTCAAATAATTAACACAAAGTAGTCCAATACTGTCCACCACGTCATAATACAATACTGTCCACCACGTCATAATACAGTACTATAAAGTGGTGGATCATACAATAGGGACACGAGTACAGAGACAAACAGGGAGACACTAAAGAGAGGCAGGAATGAGTACACAAGAATCAGGAGAGCAGCAGAGCAACAGTTTGCAAATGACATTGTGGCAAAAGCAGAGGCAACTTAGTGTTTCAGAACCATATATGGAGGAAAACAATGGTACGAGACACACACGGGAGACATTTCCCGTCACGCAGGGTGCAGTTGCACCTCCACAGATCTCCAGTATCAGCTCTTGATACTGGTAATGGCTCAAAAGGGCCACCACTTACGGGCTATTCATGCCCGTGCCACCTTTTGGGTGGCTTAATCTTCATCAATCAGTCAATCGGTACGAGACATATAATTAAGACTCCGGGGACTGGGGGGCAGAAAATTCCTTCGCGAATGACAAAGAAGTGTGTGAGGAACTCAACCAGAGATTCCAGGGAGGTCTTCATACGTGAAGCAGATTGGGGACCAAGTAGGAGTGAAAACAGACAACTAGAAAGCATACTTGACAGAATTGAAGTTAGCTAACTTAGTCTGTTAACGCTTTTGTGACGCCATCTGTCGTCATTTGCTCACAACGCCAGAATATTCCGATAACGACTGCAGTCCTCTTCAACATGTCGGCTAATTTTAAGTCGCCATTTTGTTATATTTTAGTTTTACTGCATTTTTCAAAATACCATCATAAAATACCATCATAAAATACCATCATAAAGTACAAACTCTTTAGCTTGAAAAGATACCAAATTGAACGCGTTACCATGCAAAGTAGTTCCGCAGAACGCGTTACACGAAAAATATCGTTAAGCGATTTGCGCTTGGCCCATTAATTAAGACGCTGTTAGCGCCCAAAATTGGTAAGGGAGGAAAAACGTGAAAGGTAATTGAATGTAAGACAAGCAGTAGGACCAGACCAGTTATCACCATAGGTACTGAAGGAAGGTGCACAGAGCTTGTGTTACCAGTGAACCACAATGTTCAGCATTACATTAAAGACCGGAGTTATACCGGAAATATGTCAACAATGCAAATGTTCATCCAATATTTAAGAATGTGGAGATACATGAAGCACTGAACTATACACCAGTGTCATGAACGTGTATTTCCAGGCAAGACTGTAGAACACCTCATCAGGGAAAGACTTGTAGAACATTTGGAAAAGTAACTTTCATGACAGAGACAAAACACGACCTCAGAAACGTAGCACCATGGTGGGGGGGGACGTCACTATGGTAACACCATGGTGGGGGGGACGTCACTATGGTAGCACCATGGTGGGGGGGACGTCACTATGGTAGCACTATGGTGGGGGGGACGTCACTATGGTAGCATCATGGTGGGGGGGACGTCACTATGGTCGCATCATGGTGAGGGGACGTCACTATGGTAGCACCATGGTGGGGGGACGTCACTATGGTAGCACCATGGTGGTGGGGGGACGTCACTATGGTAGCACCATGGTGGTGGGGGGACGTCACTATGGTAGCACCATGGTGGGACAGACGTCACTATGGTAGCACCATGGTGGGGGGACGTCACGATGGTAGCACCATGGTGGGACAGACGTCACTATGGTAGCATCATGGTGGGACAGACGTCACTATGGTAGCACCATGGTGGGACAGACGTCACTATGGTAGCATCATGGTGGGACAGACGTCACTATGGTAGCATCATGGTGGGACAGACGTCACTATGGTAGCACCATGGTGGGGGGACGTCACTATGGTAACACCATGGTGGGGGGGACGTCACTATGGTAGCACCATGGTGGGACAGACGTCACTATGGTAGCACCATGGTGGGGGACGTCACTATCGTAGCACCATGGGGGGGACGTCACTATGGTAGCACCATGGGGGGGGACGTCACTATCGTAGCACCATGGGGGGACGTCACTATGGTAGTACCATGGTGGGACAGACGTCACTATGGTAGCACCATGGTGGGGGACGTCACTATGGTAGCACCATGGTGGGGGACGTCACTATGGTAGCACCATGGTGGGGGACGTCACTATGGTAGCACCATGGTGGGGGGACGTCACTATGGTAGCACCATGGTGGGGGACGTCACTATGGTAGCACCATGGTGGGGGACGTCACTATGGTAGCACCATGGTGGGGGGACGTCACTATGGTAGCACCATGGTGGGGGACGTCACTATGGTAGCACCATGGTGGGGGACGTCACTATGGTAGCACCATGGTGGGGGACGTCACTATGGTAGCACCATGGTGGGGGGGACGTCACTATGGTAGCACCATGGTGGGGGGACATCACTATGGTAGCACCATGGTGGGGGGGACGTCACTATGGTAGCACCATGGTGGGGGGGACGTCACTATGGTAGCACCATGGTGGGGGACGTCACTATGGTAGCACCATGGTGGGGGGGACGTCACTATGGTAGCACCATGGTGGGGGGACATCACTATGGTAGCACCATGGTGGGGGACGTCACTATGGTAGCATCATGGTGGGACAGACGTCACTATGGTAGCATCATGGTGGGACAGACGTCACTATGGTAGCACCATGGTGGACCGGACATCACTGTGGCTCTCCCAACAGAATACTCGACACAAAATATATTTCACCTCTTCCTCCTCCTGTGACGGGGTCTGGCGTCACTGGGTTTCGTTCAGTGTTGCACAATGCAACGTTCAAAACACCGCTTCATCTGACAATATATAGCAATAAAATAGCAACGCTTCAATTCCCCGAACAAGAAAAAACAACAGCCACTCCTCCCAACTCTGATATTTTTATGTTATTTCTGTATAAACAGTCGAATTTGAAACTGGTGGAAAAAAAGAAATTCTGTTCGAAACACAAAGAGAAAGCTTTGCAGCGACCACAAATAAATCCACAAACAATCCCACAAGTTCCGGGTTCATTTCATAATAAAAAGGGGAATATGAAATATATATATTCATATCAAAATAACCAATGAACATTATTCCCTTAAAACGAAATCTCTGTTGATAATATTCTCCGGAAATAATATTATTATCGTCAAGCATTTTACAGTCTTAGATCTGTTTACACCTTAGAACACCTGAGACCAACACATGAGACCAACACCTGAGACCAACACCTGAGACCAGCACCTGAGACCAGCACCTGAGACCAACACATGAGACCAGCACCTGAGACCAGCACCTGAGACCAACACATGAGACCAGCACCTGAGACCAGCACCTGAGACCAACACCTGAGACCAACACCTGAGACCAGCACCTGAGACCAACACCTGAGACCAACACCTGACACCAACACCTGAGACCAACACCTGAGACCAACACCTGAGACCAACACCTGAGACCAACACCTGAGACCAACACCTGAGACCAACACCTGAGACCAACACCTGAGACCAACACCTGAGGACATGTCTCTAGCTTGCACGCTGAACAACTGTGGTTTAGTGATGATATAAGGTTAAAATGCTGTCAACAAACAGGTGAGAGAATGATTTGACATCATCTTGGTATAAAATGAGCCTGATATTATAGTGCATGTCTGTCTGTCTGTACTGAGTGTACCGAGTGTACTTAATGTGTACCAAAATATTGTACTTGCCCAGAGTACCAACTGATTGTTAACTCTGGTCACCTTGGATTACCCTGGGTTAACAAAGTTCACCTGGGACTACTCTTGGTTAACTAGGGGTCATGTCGGATTACCCTGGTGTTAGTACGGGTCATCTGAGCTTAACCTGGGTTAGTGCAGGTCACCTGGAGTTACTTGGGATTACCCTCGGTTAAATAATGTCACGCTGGATTGACGTTGGATTGCCGGGGGTTAAGTATTCAACTGAGATTTCTCAGGATTAACGTGAGTTAGCCAGGGCTTGGTGTGCTCCCCTGCGACCAACACCACTCACTTAGTATTCTTCAGAGTGATGTAAGTTGTCTCCACCAACCATCCGTCCTCTTGGCCAGTTATACTTCCCATCTTCAGTCCTGCCGCCAATTAATTTTATCTTCTTATCTCCATATTACTTTTTCTGTTACAATTCATATCATTTTCACTCACGTTTTTAAACAAATTTTTGGCTTTTAGTTTTGACTCAACGTATTATGGCGTTCTTACAAGGAGTTGCTGAGGAAGTTTCTCAGCCTACATTGTCAAGGTCCGGGCCTGCTTCCCGGGCCACACTTCACCGCACTTGTGAGACATCCGGCCCCAGGCACTGCTGGGTGCGGACGGGCCCCAGGCACTGCTGGGTGCGGACGGGCCCCAGGCACTGCTGGGTGCGGACGGGCCCCAGGCACTGCTGGGTGCGGACGGGCACCAGGCACTGCTGGGTGCGGACGGGCACCAGGCACTGCTGGGTGCGGACGGGCACCAGGCACTGCTGGGTGCGGACGGGCACCAGGCACTGCTGGGTGCGGACGGGCACCAGGCACTGCTGGGTGCGGACAGGCACCAGGCACTGCTGGGTGCGGACGGGCCCCAGGCACTGCTGGGTGCGGACGGGCCCCAGGCACTGCTGGGTGCGGACGGGCCCCAGGCACTGCTGGGTGCGGACGGGCCCCAGGCACTGCTGGGTGCGGACGTGCACCAGGCAATGCTGGGTGCGGACGGGCCCCAGGCACTGCTGGGTGCGGACGGGCCCCAGGCACTGCTGGGTGCGGACGGGCCCCAGGCACTGCTGGGTGCGGACGGGCCCCAGGCACTGCTGGGTGCGGACGGGCCCCAGGCACTGCTGGGTGCGGACGGGCCCCAGGCACTGCTGGGTGCGGACGGGCCCCAGGCACTGCTGGGTGCGGACGTGCACCAGGCACTGCTGGGTGCGGACGGGCCCCAGGCACTGCTGGGTGCGGACGGGCCCCAGGCACTGCTGGGTGCGGACGGGCCCCAGGCACTGCTGGGTGCGGACGGGCCCCAGGCACTGCTGGGTGCGGACGGGCCCCAGGCACTGCTGGGTGCGGACGGGCCCCAGGCACTGCTGGGTGCGGACAGGCCAGTAAGGCACCTATGCCCAGAGTCTGGCACGCTCCTAGCACACACACACTCAGGACAGCCTGCGCTAGGGGGCCAAGTGTGCTAACATGTACACACACAAAACAAATGCATTTTATGCCTATTTTTCACTTCTAATTTTAATTTTATTGCGCTGGGCAGGTGACCTACCAATAAAGGCTATCGCTTACCCTATCTCTGCCCTCTTCCAGACCAAATATTGGTATATTTGTCATTGTCTCAACCATAATCTCATGGAAACAATTCTTATCCATATTCCAAATTTTTGTTTATTTAGCTTTGCTTCCAACTCTCGCCGTCATACGCCATCTTCCTGCTTCCGTCTTCTTAGTGTTATCTCCATCTTTGGCTATTGCATTCTGTTCTTGCTTCTCTAGTATTTCCTCTCTGTTATCACCGTGCCTCCCTTCCTCTCCCCTCGTGACCGCTCTCCCTCTAATACATCCCTCGCTTCTTATTATACGCCCTTTTATAAAGTTTTTAAATTAAACACCGCCTCCTCCTATTCCTCTCTTATTATCTTCCTCCTCCTACTCTTATTTCTGCTCCACGGTCTTCCTATTTAGTCATCTTCATACATCTTCTTAATACTTCATTTTCTCTCCTAAAACTATCATCATAACTCCTTCTGATGCTCTGCCTCTTCCCCTCCTCCTTCCCCTCTACACCCGATCACCTTCCCGGCGCCCCTTCCCCACCACCACCGCTCTCCACAACACCACACTCCCTCCGTCTCTCGCTAGTGTGTGTGTGTGCACCCTGCACGCTGTGTTACAGTCACGGGTAGTGTGTGTGTACACCCTGCAGGCTGTGTTACAGTCACGGGTAGTGTGTGTGTGTACACCCTGCAGGCTGTGTTACAGTCACGGGTAGTGTGTGTGTACACCCTGCAGGCTGTGTTACAGTCACGGGTAGTGTGTGTGTGTACACCCTGCAGGCTGTGTTACAGTCACGGGTAGTGTGTACACCCTGCACGCTGTGTTACAGTCACGGGTAGTGTGTGTGTGTACACCCTGCAGGCTGTGTTACAGTCACGGGTAGTGTGTACACCCTGCACGCTGTGTTACAGTCACGGGTAGTGTGTGTGTACACCCTGCAGGCTGTGTTACAGCCACGGGTAGTGTGTGTGTGTACACCCTGCAGGCTGTGTTACAGTCACGGGTAGTGTGTACACCCTGCACGCTGTGTTACAGTCACGGGTAGTGTGTGTGTGTACACCCTGCAGGCTGTGTTACAGTCACGGGTAGTGTGTACACCCTGCACGCTGTGTTACAGTCACGGGTAGTGTGTGTGTGTACACCCTGCAGGCTGTGTTACAGTCACGGGTAGTGTGTACACCCTGCACGCTGTGTTACAGTCACGGGTAGTGTGTGTGTGTACACCCTGCAGGCTGTGTTACAGTCACGGGTAGTGTGTGTGTACACCCAGCACGCTGTGTTACAGTCACGGGTAGTGTGTGTGTACACCCTGCAGGCTGTGTTACAGTCACGGGTAGTGTGTGTGTGTACACCCTGCAGGCTGTGTTACAGTCACGGGTAGTGTGTGTGTACACCCAGCAGGCTGTGTTACAGTCACGGGTAGTGTGTGTGTACACCCTGCAGGCTGTGTTACAGTCACGGGTAGTGTGTGTGTGTGTACACCCTGCAGGCTGTGTTACAGTCACGGGTAGTGTGTGTGTGTACACCCTGCAGGCTGTGTTACAGTCACGGGTAGTGTGTGTGTGTGCGCCCTGCAGGCTGTGTTACAGTCACGGGTAGTGTGTGTGTGTACACCCTGCAGGCTGTGTTACAGTCACGGGTAGTGTGTGTGTGTGTACACCCTGCAGGCTGTGTTACAGTCACGGGTAGTGTGTGTGTGTACACCCTGCAGGCTGTGTTACAGTCACGGGTAGTGTGTGTGTGTGCACCCTGCAGGCTGTGTTACAGTCACGGGTAGTGTGTGTGTGTACACCCTGCAGGCTGTGTTACAGTCACGGGTAGTGTGTGTGTGTACACCCTGCAGGCTGTGTTACAGTCACGGGTAGTGTGTACACCCTGCAGGCTGTGTTACAGTCACAGGCGCCAGCCTGGTGCCAGACTCCCTCATTCCACAAGTCAGTTCCACAGCGTTATTTCAAACACTATCGTTCTTTTTGTGGAAGCTCAAGGCCTTTCACGCTCAGAATTTACAACAGGAGACAGAGAGAGAGAGAGAGAGAGAGAGAGAGAGAGAGAGAGAGAGAGAGAGAGAGAGAGAGAGAGAGAGAGAGAGAGAGAGAGAGAGAGAGAGAGAGAGAGAGAGAGAGAGAGAGAGAGAGAGAGAGACAGAAACACACTCACAGAGAGATATAGAGACAGATAAAGTGTGCAAACAACTCTCATTTCCATATTCAAATGTTAATATCTTGCTTCCGTCAAGGTTGCACTGCTGCCAAACACCCACTTATTCCTGTTGAGAATCTGTTGACAGCAGGGACACAATGGGGCTCCATACGACTGACTCCAAGTGTCTGTAAGATGCAAATTTCTCTCGAGTCTGTAGCTAACACGTCAGTCCTAATGTGCCTGGGGGACAGAGGCATGGGAGTAGTGATGTTGTGATGTGCAGTCCTCGGGGTGGTGATGGAGGGGTGGTGATGCTAGGCCGTCCTCGGGGTGGTGATGGAGGGGTGGTGATGCTAGGCAGTCCTCGGGGGTGGTGATGGAGGGGGTGGTGATGCTAGGCAGTCATAGCATCACCACCCACCACCACATGTAATGACGATATTCATATCCAACGATGATTACAGGCTGTGTGATGATAGCAACACCAGGCGCTGCAACATTGCAACACAACAGTTTCTTCCTACATAACATCTAACCAGAAGATGCAAGTCGTCCAATCCAAACATCGGAACAGCAAATAGTGAAATAAACAATTTGGTATTAACTAATTTCCCAGTGACTAATCCATCAACACGCGCGGATACTCCCTGGTGCAGCTCTTGCAGCCGGACTATTTCCTACACACTATTAAAATGTCGCTATCATCACATTACTTACTAAGCCAGGATAACCCTCAAGTCAAACACAACATTTCCGGCCAATTGACTTTTTCGAGGTACCGTGCAATATATATATATATATATATATATATATATATATATATATATATATATATATATATATATATATATATATATATATATATACTAGAACAAAGACTGTCCTGGTGGGGGATCGGGGTCGCCCCCCCCCCAAGTGGGTCAGCGGCCGTAGTACAGACAGTTGTGGTCGACACGGTCACGGGAGCGACCCGGGCACCACCGGGTATCCCAACTATTGGTAGATAAAGAAAGAGAACAAGAGAAAAGAAGATCTAATAAATGTAAAGATGAACAGAGGAAAGTTATAAGAAAATGAAGTTTGAGGGAACACCACCGACGGGTGAACCAGGTGACAGGTCACTGTGCAACCTGTCCTCTTAAAAAGAACGTCGCTTGTGGCCGTTTGCCCGTATGGTCGAATTTGGACGTAATTTGAAAATGAAAAAAAAATGAAAATATATTTGGATTTTTTTTTTCAACAACAGTAAGTTAAGGGTCCTCTGATAGGTTAGGTGGGCAGGAAATTCTCATAAAGTTTCAAAACGTTATGAAAAACATTAATTTAAAGTGTCCTTTTATAACCTCTGCGCGTAGGCCGGACGACTCAAATAGAAAACGGAACAGAACGTCACTTTTGTGAGTCGATTTCATTTCAAATTACGTCCAAATTTAGCCATAGCGCACATACCAGCCAAAAGTGACGTTATTTTTAAGAGGACGGGTTGCACTGTGAGGTGACACCACCGACGGTGAACCAGGTGACAGGTCACTGTGAGGGGACACCACCGACGGGTGAACCAGGTGACAGGTCACTGTGAGGTGACACCACCGACGGTGAACCAGGTGACAGGTCACTGTGAGGGGACACCACCGACGGGTGAACCAGGTGACAGGTCACTGTGAGGTGACACCACCGACGGTGAACCAGGTGACAGGTCACTGTGAGGTGACACCACCGACGGGTGAACCAGGTGACAGGTCACTGTGAGGGGACACCACCGACGGGTGAACCAGGTGACAGGTTCACTGTGAGGTGACACCACCGACGGTGAACCAGGTGACAGGTTCACTGTGAGGGAACAACACCGACGGGTGAACCAGGTGACAGGTTCACTGTGAGGGGACACCACCGACGGGTGAACCAGGTGACAGGTCACTGTGAGGGGACACCACCGACGGGTGAACCAGGTGACAGGTCACTGTGAGGTGACACCACCGACGGTGAACCAGGTGACAGGTTCACTGTGAGGGAACACCACCGACGGTGAACCAGGTGACAGGTTCACTGTGAGGGAACACCACCGACGGTGAACCAGGTGACAGGTTCACTGTGAGGGGACAACACCGACGGGTGAACCAGGTGACAGGTTCACTGTGAGGGGACAACACCGACGGGTGAACCAGGTGACAGGTTCACTGTGAGGGAACACCACCGACGGGTGAAGCAGGTGACAGGTCACTGTGAGGGAACACCACCGATGGGTGAACCAGGTGACAGGTCACTGTGAGGGGACACCACCGACGGTGAACCAGGTGACAGGTCACTGTGAGGGGACACCACCGACGGGTGACCTAGGTGACAGGTCACTGTGAGGGGACACCACCGACGGTGAACCAGGTGACAGGTCACTGTGAGGGGACACCACCGACGGGTGACCTAGGTGACAGGTCACTGTGAGGGGGATATCTGAGATAAGAATGAGAAATAACAATGGGGCATGGACTGTGTCCTGGGGTACAGAGCTTTTCACTGCATTTCAGCTCACAGAGCATTTACTTGTGTGGGACTGTGGAGACACTGTACTTGTGTGGGTCTGTGGAGGCACTGTACTTGTGTGGGTCTGTGGAGGCACTGTACTTATGTAGACTGTGAAGGCACTGTACTTGTGTGTGACCGGAGGCACTGTACATGTGTCTTTCAAAGTTTAAATGAATCTCAATTTATGAGAAAACCAAATGCTCTCAGAACATAGTAAAATGATTTACAGATAATTTAATCTGTTAGGTTAGGTTAAGAAAGGCGCCGGAGAGCGAAGGTGGACGTAGGCTGGTTTAATACATCACAAACAAGGGCTCTTAGCTCTCCTGAGGAAAATATTTACAGGTAGGTGAGGTGGGGAAGATGAGGTTGGTGGGGAAGGGAAAGTGAGGCTGGTGTAGAGAGGGAGGTGAGGATAGTGAGGAAGGGGGCCGTGGGGTGATGGTGAGGGAGTGATGTTGTGACGTATTCCATGGCCAGTAAGATAAGTCCCATCACCATGACAATATCACACATTCAACCCATACACAAACTGACGCTTCAAGTATCTCTCTTTTATCTCTTTCTCTCCTTGTTACTTCCCTCCCTGCACCCGTCCATCAGTCTGTTGCTCTCTTCCTCCCTCCCACTTAAATAATTGCCCGTCAATCTCCCTCCTATTTCTTCCTACTCATTTAAGAGATGTAGACTGACTTGCCACACACTGAACCCCAGCCCCCTTCCCTGGCTCTTGTTGACCTGCAGGACTGCTGCCACCACACCCCGAGCTGACGATGATATAGTGCACAAGAGAGGAGCCACAATGCACATGAGGCAATATAATTAGTCTGTTTTAGTAACAATTCATCCGGTTAAACATAACTTCACCTAATTTAGCATAACTGCATTTCATTGAGCCATAATGTCACCTTGTTGAGCAACAATGCCTCGAGTTGAACCACAGTTAACTTTGAGCTACACTTTGTTAAAGTACATTATACATGGTTTAGCAACAATTCATCACAGTAATACACAATATACTGCGGTACTGTATAGGGCCTGAAGTTGTGGCACTGTAAGATCACTTGTGCCACTGTATGGGAGAACATTATCAGCACTGCAGGGAGAGCAGTGCTGCGACACTGCAGGGAGTGCAGTGTCCTCCCTGCACTGCACTCACTATCGGCGAATAAAATGTCATACGCTGATACGTTCATCAGACTGACAGCACGTGAAGCACTATAGTGCCGCCAGGGAACACCAGGGCCAGTAACACTACCAGGGAACACCAGGGCCAGTAACACCACCAGGGAACACCAGGGCCAGTAACACTACCAGGGAACACCCGGGCCAGTAACACCACCAGGGAACACCAGGGCCAGTAACACTACCAGGGAACACCAGGGCCAGTAACACCACCAGGGAACACCAGGGCCAGTAACACTACCAGGGAACACCCGGGCCAGTAACACCACCAGGGAACACCAGGGCCAGTAACACTACCAGGGAACACCAGGGCCAGTAACACCACCAGGGAACACCAGGGCCAGTAACACTACCAGGGAACACCAGGATCAGTAACACCACCAGGGAACACCAGGGCCAGTAACACTACCAGGGAACACCAGGATCAGTAACACCACCAGGGAACACCAGGGCCAGTAACACTACCAGGGAACACCAGGATCAGTAACACCACCAGGGAACACCAGGGCCAGTAACACCACCAGGGAACACCCGGGCCAGTAACACCACCAGGGAACACCAGGATCAGTAACACCACCAGGGAACACCAGGGCCAGTAACACTACCAGGGAACACCAGGGCCAGTAACACCACCAGGGAACATCAGGGCCAGTAACACCACCAGGGAACACCAGGGCCAGTAACACCACCAGGGAACACCAGGGCCAGTAACACCACCAGGGAACACCAGGGCCAGTAACACCACCAGGGAACACCAGGGCCAGTAACACCACCAGGGAACACCAGGGCCAGTAACACCACCAGGGAACACCAGGGCCAGTAACACCACCAGGGAACACCAGGGCCAGTAACACCACCAGGGAACACCAGGGCCAGTAACACCACCAGGGAACACCAGGGCCAGTAACACCACCAGGGAACACCAGGGCCAGTAACACCACCAGGGAACACCAGGGCCAGTAACACCACCAGGGAACACCAGGGCCAGTAACACTAATATGGCTGTTAAAGCCTTGCTTTATGGTCCGTGTCATGTGGTGCCTGGCGGGTGTGAGAGACGGGAGGGAGGGTCAGGAAGGAAGGAGATGGGAGAGAAGAGGAGAAAATTTGTAGAGGAGGACAATGGAAAGACGAGATAAGGGATGAAGGGAGTCGGAGAGGCGAGGTGGAGATGGGGGAGATGGAGGGAGGAGGAGAGCCCAGGAGACAACTTGCCAACAATAACAGTACCATTACGTCCGAGTATGTGTGGGGGGCAACGTATGGTTAAAGTTTACTAAGTTTGCTCTGAAGGGGAAGTTGATAAACACCTACAAAAGATACCTGATCAACCGGGCTGTAACTCATACATCAGACTGCGAACAGCGGCGTCAAACAGCCTTGTTACCAGCCAACCAGCCAGGAGGGCCGGCCAGGGACCTTCAACAATGACTGTGGTGATTCAAGTTGAAGTATACATACAGTACACAACACACTTAAGTGATTACTGTAATTAGGATTTGAGAGGAAAACACAAGAAAATATATGTAAATAGTAAAAACATATATACTATATAACATAAATATATAGGCTAAATATAATTTAAAATATGAAAATTTGACAAAATTAAAATATGACAAAATTTGAAATTATTATAATCTTCAATTTAGTATTTGAGTCCCTTGATGAATACGTAGCTTATACCTGAGTCACCATATTACAGCAAACTCTTCAATGAAGAGACAATACAGTCATCATGATAACTAACAAGCGATAATTGTGCCATCTGGCACAATTATCCTTAGATACTCCTGTATTATCTGGCTGAGATATTACAGGAGTATCCCGTGGGTCGTCCACAGGCAGCTGGAGTGATTACCGGAGGGTATACTGAGTATACAACATGTTGTGGTATACACTGAAGGTTAACATGGGGTTTACTACCTGCCAATTGCAGAAACTCACATTTTCTGTTACTTCACAAGAATTAGGAACACCGGTTCTCTATACGTTCATCATTATCATTTATAATGACAAGTATGGCATAAGACACGAAGCTTTTTAAAACACTCTTACGGGGCCCGGGTCTGTGTGTGTGTATGTCTGTCTGTCTGTCTGTCTGTCTGTCTGTCTGTCTCTCTCTCTCTCTCTCTCTCTCTCTCTCTCTCTCTCTCTCTCTCTCTCTCTCTCTCTCTCTCTCATGCTCTCTCTCTCTCATGCTCTCTCTCTCTCTCTCTCTCTCTCTCTCTCTCTCTCTCTCTCTCTCTCTCATGCTCTCTCTCTCTCATGCTCTCTCTCTCTCATATATATATATATATATATATATATATATATATATATATATATATATATATATATATATATATATATATATATATATATATCACTTGTACTGGTCCATACACGGGTCCTATCACTTGTACTGGTCCATACATGGGTCCTATTACTTGTACTGGTCCATACATGAGACCTATCACTTGTACTGGTCCAAACATGAGTCCTATTACTTGTACTGGTCCATACATGGGTCCTATCACTTGTACTGGTCCATACATGAGTCCTATTACTTGTACTGGTCCATACATGGGTCCTATCACTTGTACTGGTCCATACATGAGTCCTATCACTTGTACTGGTCCATACATGAGTCCTATCACTTGTACTGGTCCATACATGAGTCCTATTACTTGTACTGGTCCATACATGAGTCCTATCACTTGTACTGGTCCATACATGAGCCCTATCACTTGTACTGGTTCATACATGAGTCCTATTACTTGTACTGGTTCATACATGGGTCCTATTACTTGTACTGGTCCATACATGAGTCCTATTACTTGTACTGGTTCATACATGGGTCCTATCACTTGTACTGGTCCATACATGAGTCCTATTACTTGTACTGGTTCATACATGGGTCCTATTACTTGTACTGGTCCATACATGAGTCCTATCACTTGTACTGGTCCATACATGAGTCCTATTACTTGTACTGGTTCATACATGGGTCCTATTACTTGTACTGGTCCATACATGAGTCCTATCACTTGTACTGGTCCATACATGGGTCCTATTACTTGTACTGGTCCATACATGAGTCCTATTACTTGTACTGGTTCATACATGGGTCCTATCACTTGTATTGGTTCATACATGAGTCCTATTACTTGTACTGGTTCATACATGGGTCCTATCACTTGTACTGGTTCATACAGGGGCTGCATCATACTCATGTATCATACGCGGGCTGTTTCAGGCCCTTTGCTAGCAAGTTACATGATGTATACCAAATCACGAAAAAAGAGATCTACCAGAAATTTGGATAATGATTAACGTAATACCAATACATGAAAAATAAGATAAGCGAGGCGAGCGACTGACCTATAGAGTGATGACCTTGTACATCACACAAGCTGGGTGCTACAAGTGACTACCACAGAGACAAGTACAACCATTAGGAATGAGTCTCCGTAACGCAGCTCTAGCCTGGGGTTCGTGGGTGATAAACCCAGCCTGACAGACATGATAAATTGTGTCACGTGAAACAGATCACACATGAGGGACTGGGCAGTACCCAGCCTGTAACACTCACAGTCTCCAGTACCCAGCCTGTAACACTCTCACAGTCTCCAGTACCCAGCCTGTAACACTCTCACAGTCTCCAGTACCCAGCCTGTAACACTCTCACAGTCTCCAGTACCCAGCCTGTAACACTCTCACAGTCTCCAGTACCCAGCCTGTAACACTCTCACAGTCTCCAATACCCAGCCTGTAACACTCACAGTCTCCAGTACCCAGCCTGTAACACTTACAGTCTCCAGTACCCAGCCTGCAACACTCACAGTCTCCAGTACCCAGCCTGTAACACTCTCACAGTCTCCAGTACCCAGCCTGTAACACTCACAGTCTCCAGTACCCAGCCTGTAACACTCTCACAGTCTCCAGTACCCAGCCTGTAACACTCTCACAGTCTCCAGTACCCAGCCTGTAACACTCTCACAGTCTCCAGTACCCAGCCTGTAACACTCTCACAGTCTCCAGTACCCAGCCTGTAACACTCACAGTCTCCAGTACCCAGCCTGTAACACTCACAGTCTCCAGTACCCAGCCTGTAACACTCACAGTCTCCAGTACCCAGCCTGTAACACTCTCACAGTCTCCAGTACCCAGCCTGTAACACTCACAGTCTCCAGTACCCAGCCTGTAACACTCACAGTCTCCAGTACCCAGCCTGTAACACTCACAGTCTCCAGTACCCAGCCTGTAACACTCACAGTCTCCAGTACCCAGCCTGTAACACTCACAGTCTCCAGTACCCAACCTGTAACACTCTCACAGTCTCCAGTACCCAGCCTGTAACACTCTCACAGTCTCCAGTACCCAACCTGTAACACTCTCACAGTCTCCAGTACCCAGCCTGTAACACTCACAGTCTCCAGTACCCAGCCTGTAACACTCTCACAGTCTCCAGTACCCAACCTGTAACACTCACAGTCTCCAGTACCCAGCCTGTAACACTCTCAGTCTCCAGTACCCAACCTGTAACACTCACAGTCTCCAGTACCCAACCTGTAACACTCACAGTCTCCAGTACCCAGCCTGTAACACTCTCAGTCTCCAGTACCCAACCTGTAACACTCACAGTCTCCAGTACCCAGCTTGTAACACTCACAGTCTCCAGTACTCAGCCTGTAACACTCTCAGTCTCCAGTACCCAGCCTGTAACACTCTCAGTCTCCAGTACCCAGCCTGTAACACTCTCAGTCTCCAGTACCCAGCCTGTAACACCTCAGCTAGAACTATTAGCGCTGTTTTCCCCTCTCCCATTAACCCTTTCCCTTCCCACCATCTCCCACACAATACTGAAATAGAACTCGTCGAATTAAACGACAAGGAAATTGGAAACCGATTTAAATAATCCGAAAAAACTCAATTCTATAAAAGCGGAGAGTGATTTCTTAAAGAAAACGCTGAAGAATAGAATTTTCACTGGAATGCTGGAAATTAAGATCTGGATTCCCAGGGTAAAAAAGGTCGTTTCCGTTTGAGGAGTGGAAGAGGCGAGAGGGGCTGGGATGGGGGGAAGGGAAGGGTAAGGAAGGGAAGGGAAGGGAAGGGAAGGGAAGGGAAGGGGAGGGAAGGGGAGGGAAGGGAAGGGAAGGAAAGGGAAGGGAAGGGGAGGGAAGGGAAGGAAAGGAAAGGGAAGGGAAGGGAAGGGGAGGGAAGGGGAGGGAAGGGAAGGGAAGGGAAGGGAAGGGAAGGGAAGGGAAGGGAAGGGAAGGGAAGGGGAGGGAAGGGAAGGGAAGGGGAGGGAAGGGGAGAGAAGGGAAGGGAAGGGAAGGGAAGGAAAGGGAAGGGAAGGGGAGAGAAGGGAAGGGAAGGGAAGGAAAGGAAAGGGAAGGGAAGGGAAGGGAAGGGAAGGGAAGGGGAGGGAAGGGAAGGGAAGGGGAGGGAAGGGGAGGGAAGGGAAGGAAAGGGAAGGGAAGGGGAGGGAAGGGAAGGGAAGGAAAGGGAAGGGAAGGGAAGGGGAGGGGAGGGAAGGGAAGGGAAGGGAAGGGAAGGGAAGGGAAGGGAAGGGAAGGGGAGAGAAGGGAAGGGAAGGGAAGGGAAGGGAAGGAAAGGGAAGGGAAGGGAAGGGAAGGGAAGGGGAGGGGAGGGAAGGGAAGGGAAGGGGGACTTTGGTTTGCGACGTGGGTGAGAGCGGGAGGCAGAGATGGGTCTATGTGTTGTAGCCAGTCAACACAAGAGTTGAAGCAGTGAACACAAGAGTTGAAGCAGTGAACACAAGAGCTGAAGCAGTGAACACAAGAGTTGAAGCAGTGAACACAAGAGTTGAAGCAGTGAACACAAGAGCTGAAGCAGTGAACACAAGAGCTGAAGCAGTGAACACAAGAGCTGAAGCAGTGAACACAAGAGTTGAAGCAGTGAACACAAGAGTTGAAGCAGTGAACACAAGAGTTGAAGCAGTGAACACAAGAGCTGAAGCAGTGAACACAAGAGTTGAAGCAGTGAACACAAGAGTTGAAGCAGTGAACACAAGAGTTGAAGCAGTGAACACAAGAGTTGAAGCAGTGAACACAAGAGCTGAAGCAGTGAACACAAGAGTTGAAGCAGTGAACACAAGAGCTGAAGCAGTGAACACAAGAGCTGAAGCAGTGAACACAAGAGCTGAAGCAGTGAACACAAGAGCTGAAGCAGTGAACACAAGAGCTGAAGCAGTGAACACAAGAGCTGAAGCAGTGAACACAAGAGCTGAAGCAGTGAACACAAGAGCTGAAGCAGTGAACACAAGAGCTGAAGCAGTAAACTCAAGAGAGACTAAGTAATGAAAAGAAATCATAGAACATTTGGGTTTGGGTTTATTTTCTGATATTGAGAAATTATTGTAAGTAGAATAGTTACATATTTAGTCAGTCAAATATATTGTAAGTAATGCATTATGACCGTGAATACGAAACATTTAAGACTCCTCTTCTCTCTATAATATCATCTTTTCCTTCACTTTTCACCCTATATTCTTACCTTCCTCTCTCAAACCTTTATTTAAACATCTTTTATGGTTAATTATTTCCCAAAGTCCTTTTTCTCTTGCTCTTAATAACACTTCCCTTCTCTTTCCCCTCCCTGTTCTCTCCATTTTCTCCCCTTCCATCAACTCTCTCCATCCTTTTTTCGCTCTTCCCCTCACGTTCCCTCCTGTCTCTCCTCTCACCGTCTATCCTCTCCCTCTCCGCCCCCTTGTGGCCAAGCATCCATACCTCCGAGGCGGCCCACTTAACATGCGGACGCCACAATCTGCTGACGCTTATTATGTAAATGCTCTAATGACTTGGGGGAGCCTGTATATGAGTGCCTCGTACTGCCTTGTTTGTCCGCTTCATGTTTACCTTGTAAACATCTTGCCTTACATTCTTGGAATACATTCAACATGTTTGTCATCTTGAGGTTATCTTGAGATGATTTCGGGGCTTTTTAGTGTCCCCGCGGCCCGGTCCTGCTACAGAGGGCACCACAACATGCCCCACACTGCTACAGAGGGCACCATAACATGCCCCACACTGCTACAGAGGGCACCATAACATGCCCCACACTGCTACAGAGGGCACCACAACATGCCCCACACTGCTACAGAGGGCACCATAACATACCCCACACTGCTACAGAGGGCACCACAACATGCCCCACACTGCTACAGAGGGCACCATAACATGCCCCACACTGCTACAGAGGGCACCACAACATGCCCCACACTGCTACAGAGGGCACCATAACATACCCCACACTGCTACAGAGGGCACCATAACATGCCCCACACTGCTACAGAGGGCACCATAACATACCCCACACTGCTACAGAGGGCACCACAACATGCCCCACACTGCTACAGAGGGCACACCAGCAGGGGCCTGTTGAGGACCCAATATAGAGGTCACGTCACTCAGACGCAGGGACCGCAGTAAGGCAGCCAGGGTAATAACAATGCTCTTATCTATTAAAACCACAGACAGCTGCCACAGAGATAAGAAAACACACACGTAGGGAACCGAGACGCGAATTCTAACACATAAATACGATTACGATATACATGTATATACATACATACATACATACATACATACATACATACATACATACATACATACATACATACATACATATGCAAATACGTACACGGGATCCCGTAGTGCACCCGAGTTCGTTCTTGACTCACAGTCGGGAATTCCGGGTTTGAATCCCAGACGAGCCAAAAATTGGTTTAATCGTTTCCTAACGCACCTGTTAACCCCTAGCAGTAAATAGTTACCCACGAGTTAGTCGGTTTGTTGTGGGGCTGTATCCTGAGGAGGGTCAGTAATTTGACCCTTACCTCAATATAAACCTAACATGTATATATATATATATATATATATATATATATATATATATATATATATATATATATATATATATATATATATATATGACAGTGTCAGACCACGGAGGAAAATTGAAACAGGAATTTCCTTAAGTACTTTCGTATAATAATATAGGAAAGTACTTAAGGAAATTCCTGTTTCAATTTTCCTCCGTGGTCTGACACTGTCACATTTATAATCAGGCGTTTATTTTCGTGATACACACACACACACACACACACACATATATATATATATATATATATATATATATATATATATATATATATATATATGCACAGACTTGCCTATATAACTCGCAAGCTGAAGTT